ACATACACACACACACACACACACACACACATATATATATATATATGACTGCATGACCAGTATGATTCTGCAACATGTACACCCAGAAAAATGAGAAATTATATCCCATCTATGTTTTTATAAAAGTGCATGAATGCATTCTCCTGCCATGTATAAGTAATTAAAACAAATAAAAATTTAACAAAAATAATAAAAAATTTCCAAACCCCCAAAATGGACCCCAGTGCAGAAGCTAGTGCCTACAAGTGTACATTTGGCACCCAGATCAGTTTATCTAAAGGTTAAAAGTATTTCCAATGGCAGGTTAGAGCCCTATCTCTGTGTGAGAGCAGGTGAGTTATAGGTCACTTGATTTTAATTTTTGGTAAGGATCTAATGAGAGGCTCAGCAGATTTAATTGCCCAATTCAAATTGTCTAAATAATTCTAGAAAGTAAGAATCAAATAAAATAAATTAAAAAATACTTTACTTTAAAAAAAACTTGTTCAGCTGGAGAACATGTTAGAGAAACTATTATTGTTGTTATTTTTTTAATTGCTATTTTTTTTTTATTAGAGCCATAAAGTCTCATTAAGTCTTTGGTAGCTTGGACTATCCATTTCTTTTTCTTTTTTTCCTTGTGGTGCTGGGGATTGAACCTAGGGCTTTGTGCATGCAACTGGGTTATATCCCCAGCCCTGGACTATCCATTTCTATTATTTATTAATTGATTGTGATATTGGGGTTGAACTCAGGGCCTTGCACATGCTAAGTATTCAGTATAATGCTGAATGACATCCCAGCCCCTAGACCGTCCATTTCTATAGTATCAAGGGTGAGAAAGCCCTCTGTAACCTAGAACTACTTGTTTGCTATTGCTGTTCTTCCTCATGAGCCTTATTGCAGTGGGTTGAGTATGTTGTAATTTAACTATTATTAGTCCACGAATAACTACACCCTTACTTTATTTTCATTTTACCTCTTAATCTCAACATTAACTCCTCATCCCCAATCCAGAGTCAGCAGGCACACTTTTTACTGTGTGTTCCTTAGGTATTGTGGACATCTGTGATTTTTAAAATTTTTAAAATTTTTTTGATATTGGGGATTGAACTCAGTGGTGCTTAACCACTGAGCCATATCCCCAACCCCTTTTTACATTTTATTTAGAGATGGGGTCTCTCTGAATTACTCAGGGCTTCGTTAAGTTGCTAAGGCTGGCTTTGAACTTGTGATCCTCCTGCCTCAGCCTCCTCAGCTGAGGATTACAAGCGTGTATCACCACATCTGGCTGATCTTTTAAAAACACTTAGTTTTTAAATGTTTCAAATTGTATCAACTGTATTATTTGAGTCTTAAGAATATAGTCATTCATTTCCCTGTTGTAGATCACAAATAAATCAATATGATACCATTAACTCACCCCACCCATCCTTTTCCTTCCAAACAACCATCACCTGTTGGGCAGCATAGTTGGCAGCCCCTCAGTCCAGCTTCATGCCATTCAAGAGTGGTAAGCATGTCTAGACTCCCTGGAAATATTATCTTTCAACTCTGTTTTGGCAAGTGTAAACTTTTTGCTGGATTATGTCAGCAGATATATATGTTTCTTATCCTCATAGAAATAGATTGGTGCTGGAGTTTCTTTTGGATTTCTCTGCTCAGAGAAAATAAAAACTATCTCTTTGCTCATTAAATTTTTTGCTCATTAAAAATGTCTGAGGGCTCTTGATTCTCAGGGGTGAGACTGGTGACATACATAGCACTGTCAGCGGCTATTTTGGATTTTCTGCTTTCAGGCATGTCTTTGCTTTTTGGATGAGCCCCTTGTGGTTTTCAAAAGAACTAGCAAGTCAATTATAAATAGAAGGCTGTGTCTGTGTGTCTGCATGCACTTACTCTGTGGGACGAGGCACCCACATGACAGTGGGCAGTGAACTATTTTTCCACTTCTTTGAAGAGGGAAGAAGAAAGATTAAGAACACTTTTCTCTTTTTGAGATAACCCACATCTCTACACACACCCACACAAATCTGTGTAAATGAACTTGACATTTCAAAGACCTCACCTTAAGGTCTTCTCTTGAAAGCACAGCCACCCGACCTGTTATTTTAAGAAAGAAAGCAGTTATCTTACAGACCTACAACTGAGGGTTCAGGGATTAGAGGGCAGCCTGTCTGTGCCAGAGATCTTTGGAAGGTACTCTGCAAGCTGAATTTCCTTATATTAATGGTACTTTGGTGAAAGTAGCCTTGGCTAACTAATCAGTGGTCTCTAGTACTTGGCTGTTTATATTGTATCCTTTCTTTCTTTGCCCACTAGTGGAAACTGTTGGAACAAGCAAGTTCAGACTAATCATTCCAACAAGGGAGGGGAAAAGAGTGATATGAAAAATGGAACTGCAAATGGGTGTTTTGAAAAAGAGACAATTAGGAGGTCTGATTAAGTGTACTTCTGTTACAATGCATTTCTGTCTTTCCTTCCATTGTAACCTGGACTCAACAGGTGCGGGATATTCCTTTGGTCCTACTTGTTAACCTTAGTGTTCAAACATTGTCCCATTCCCTTTGTCTCCTTGTGCCCTCATCCTGGATGCTTGGTGCCCCCATTTTTTTTTTTGACAGTTGAAAATTATGCAGTGGCTCTGAATTCTCATTTTGATCAATGTAAAAATGTGAGTGTTATTACTATAGAAAAGTTAGTCTAGGCATCTAACTGGAATTATTGATAACTTGAATTTATAGCTATAGATTGCATTATGCAAGAATAATTCTGAAGCAATCACGTTCTGAAACAGGAAAGTCAGTATTGCTTATTCTACTCATCGATGAAGGTTTTTGCAGCAGGAACTGGTGTTAATAGCTGTCATATATTTAGGAACTGTTTTGGGAATAAAGTTAAGGTGTTGAAAATTGTGTTCCAGCAAAATATTTTATTTGGATGCAAAAACGGGTATAAGCTGAAGGTAACATGGAAGCCACAGGGAGAGAACCTCCTTGTCAGAACTCCATGGACCCGTTTCAGCTTATATAAATGCATTCATAGGGTGAGAGGTGACTATTTGGTAGTTGATCAAGTGATGAGGCTATGAAATGTGGACATAATGGTGATGACTTTCTGCTCTGTGAATGTGTTTGGAATGGTCCTGGAGAAACTACTGTTGTTCCCTCTGTGGGAGTGAAACCCAGACAGTGATCTCTTTTTTTCCCCATGCTTTTCTCTCCTTTGCAGATGAGAAGCCTAAGGTCAACCCCAAACTTTACATGTGTGTGTGTGAAGGCCTTTCCTGTGGGAATGAGGACCACTGTGAAGGCCAGCAGTGCTTTTCGTCACTGAGCATCAACGATGGCTTCCATGTCTACCAGAAAGGCTGCTTCCAGGTTTATGAGCAAGGAAAGATGACCTGTAAGACCCCGCCATCACCTGGACAAGCCGTGGAGTGCTGCCAAGGGGACTGGTGTAACAGGAACATCACGGCCCAGCTGCCCACTAAAGGTCCCCATGCACTTTTCTATTTCTAGATTAGGGTTTTGTTAGTAGTGTCCTGATCTGTTTGGGTTAAAGATCTTTGCAGCCATGAGGCTCTCCTCCTACTCTTTGAACCAAGGTGATGAGCCATGTAGAAGGTTGCTTTAGGTGAGGAGGAAAGAGGCATGGCCCTTTGGAATCTCAAAGGAGGATGGACATATTTGAAAAAGTGAGTAAAGTGACATCCACTCTGGGAAGAGATTGACCGATCAGTTCTCTTTTTAGGTCACCTCCAATGGGTGTACAGCTCTCTATGCCACTTTCTGTTAAGGGGCTGTGATGTCTTTTATAATTTCTGAAATAATTCCGCTTAGTAAACACTCATCTCTAGGCCACATGTGTAGGGAAGAAGAAACTGTGCTTGAGTGGAATGCTCTTTCCTCTTTATGAGGAAGTTGGCAAACAGACTCCCTAACCTCCTCCCAGATCCGATTCTCTAGCTATGGCTGAATCTAGAAGCCAGATGAGATTTCTCACGAACCCTGTAGTTTATGTGGAATCTTGTGTATTCATTACAGATTTCCTATCTTCTGGAAACCAGGGCTCTGAAACTGTTTTCCCATTAAATGAGCCCCGGACTGTCAATCCCCTACAAATATTACCATAGACTCACTTCAAGCCAAATTTATTCTCTTAATTAATGCATAGTACATTTTTAATAGGTATAATTACTTAATTTTGCACTCATAAAAGAAGAAAAAACACAAAAGGTAGAGTAAGAGATACTACTAGGAGTATTCACTGCTAGAAATAACCAACAGGAGAGTCAGAAAAACAAAAAAGCTGATAAGGGATCACATTACAGAGATTTGATGTTACAGTGGTGACCTGATGGCAGACACAAAAGGTTCAATTATGGTAAACAAATAGGGTTGAATAATAAACGGTTTTAAAATGAGAGATCAGATATTTAAAATATTAAAACTGAAGGGATACTTCTCTTGCACTGTGAGTTAAATTTTCATTAATCGAGTGGAAAGACATGAAGAAAGGTCTGCATTCACAAAACAGTTATCATGTATGAAATTCCTTGTCTGTAGAACACTCTGCTAGATTCTAGTTTAACAGAAGATTTACTTTCTTTATTTAAGGATTTTCTAATCTGAGAGGCTACAATGTTTATGATTCAGTGTTGTATTTAATTACTTTTAAACTTGATCATGCAAATGACTTGTACCATGGAAGATTGTGTACACTAAGTCATTGTTTGGGCTTAGAAAGTTAGAGAAATATACAAAGGAAGTTCAGCTTGAGAGTGCATTGCTGAAGGGGCCGAGGACATGGACACAGGTAAAGCAGATGTGCAGAAGGGCTGGACTTATGACATAATGTCATAAGGGGTCTGATTCAGAAGTGAGTGTTGTTTGGGGATCCTTAAAGTATGGACCTTCACTGTCCAACCAAAAAAACAAAAAAATTGATTTAACTCACTAGGCAAGTGGAGATCCATTGTGAATATCTGCATGTGTGATAGGTAAAATGTTTGAGTGAATGCACCAGTGCTTGAATGGGTACTGTAAAAATGTCTGGACGAGGGAGTGAATCAGTGAATGAATGTTTGAGTAGGTGACTAAATGCACAGATGAATAAATAGCTTCTGAGACAGGAATCGTGCTGTAAAAAGATCAATGAGAATTCAGCAGTAGACATTCTCAAGATATATTGAAGAAAGAGCACAGATAGGGTAATTTGGTTTTAACCAAGATAGCACTTTCTCACAGGGATATTATGGTATAGTGTCTGTCTGTAAGGGCATCTTTATATACCAAATCCAAGTAAATAAGAGTAATATCAAGATTTGTGTAGTACTTTACATTTTAAAAACACTTTCAAGCACATTAATTAATATAGTTGATTCTCAGTGGAATTTTTTCAAACTCCAGTTACGTCTAATTGAATGATGGTTTAAATGGCTGGGCTATTGGCCAGGTATTGAGAGAAGTATCTTAGTTTTAGCACTTTGTGTCTTGTGAGACTATGTGGTCAGGATCTGGAGCTACTTGGTTATGGTTATGCTAAGTAACAAGGAAACAGTGATTCTGACAGCCAATTACCCTTTTCTCCCCCATCTTCAGGAAAGTCCTTCCCTGGAACACAGCATTTCCACTTGGAGGTTGGCCTCATTATTCTCTCTGTAGTGTTTGCAGTATGCCTTCTAGCATGCCTGCTGGGAGTGGCTCTCCGAAAATTTAAAAGGCGCAACCAAGAACGCCTCAATCCCAGAGATGTGGAGTACGGCACCATTGAAGGGCTCATCACCACCAATGTTGGAGACAGCACTTTAGCAGTGAGTTTGTGACCCCATGGGGAATCTAAAGCACAATAAAGATGGCTGAAGACACTTCCATATTTCTGGCATGAAAAGCAAACAGTGAATGGACACACATGCCATTGGTCACTTATTTCCTAAGCAAGCATATGGTAGCATTTGTTTAGTCTCCCTTGCATGAGAACATCCATTTTATGTAGATAAAGTAGAAGTAGAGAAGAGGATTTTTTTTAGTAGATTGTTTTTTGTGGGGGTAAGGGGTAAAGAAAAAGGGACAGAGAATGGTTGGTTGCCTGTAATTTTGGAGGGCTTAGAGTTGGTATTCTGTTACTCTATTTTTAGCGGTAAAGGTGCTTTTTAAAGGAAGCACTTTTGCTTAATATTAAAAATCAATTTCCCTTGAGATTATTTCAACACCCTATAATTTAAGACTTTAAAACTTGACATCCAAAAAAAGCAGCTATTAAATTTTTCGTGCTCTTGTGCTGCCCCCTTGTGGAGTGCAGTCATTTGGTTAAACAACTGTGGGCCAGTAGAAACCTGTGCACCACATACGGAATTTTAAATTTTAAAGTAGTTACCTTAAAAAGGTAAAATAAAACAAAAGAGTAAAACAGGTGAAATTGATAGTCTGTTTAACCCAACACATGTAATTTTTATCTTTTCAACCTATAATCAATAAAAATGATTGAGATATTTTAGTTTCTGAACTAAGTTTTCAAAATCTTATGTGTATTTTACATATACATTTACTCAGTATGAAAACCATTGTGTTCATACATTTAATAATCACTTTTGTATATTTTTAATGACAACATTAGTAGTGGCTGCATTCCTTAGTTATTTTTAAAATTTCATTTTGTTAATTTTTTGTACTACAGATTGAACCCAACAGCATTTAACCACAGAGCCACATCCTCAGTCATTTTTATTATTTGTTTTAAGACAGGGACTTGCTGAGTGGCTTAGGGCCTTGCTAAATTGTTGAGGTTGGCCTTGAACTTCTACTTCTCCTGCTTCAGCATCCTGAGCTGCTCGGATTATAGGCATGTGCCACTGTGCCCAGCGTCAAATTTTAATTTTAAAGAGACTTTAAGCTTTAGAAAAAGAAGATCATTTGCTATAAATAGAAGTTTACCATAAAGCATAAAAGAAAAATAATTAATACTATTTACATGGATACTGTGCTATATCTGATACCTACTTTGAAAAGGGCAAAAATTTATGGTATGAAAGAAGTGTGAAAGACATGCAGTACCAATAGATTCTTTGTCATAATCCATTGAATTGAAAGACAATCAAGGCAATATCTTTCTAATGTGATTCAGTGTTATTTAATGCCATGCCTGTATATTATCCAGTCTCATCTAGCATTAAGTCTTCCTTTGCTAGAGACAAGCTTCAAAGGGCCTGATAGTTCTGCAGTTAGGCTTGCCCTGCAGCTTCGTTTTTTCTGGAGACATGTATCTTCAACAACAGCAGTTTTTGTAGCACCAGGTGGTGCACCTGGACAACTGCAGGATCCACCTTACTGAGTCACCAGAACATGGATGGTGGCTGAATAGGCAGGGAGCATCTTGCCTTGCTACCTGCCCCATCCCTGGGCTGCCAGTCAAGTGTACTTTTTGTATGAAAAAGGGGCAAAATAGCCATTTGTAGCTTTCCTTTACCAATCTATTTAAATTGTATAGAACTAGGAGAAGAGGAAATAATGACATTTTGTTTTGAAAAGTAGAGAAATACAAATTTTCATTAGAAATTTACTCAGAACTCCATTCTAAGCTTTAAGGAAAATTAAATGAGTTTATTGAGTTAGCAGCAAGAAGATGTAAGGATGAATCCTGACAGAGCTTCATCAAAGCAAGATTCTAAAATAGATTAGTCAGAACTTTATTCCTCAGAGCTGCTAACATAACTAATTATCAAGGGTAATAATTGAAATATCTAGTAGTATAAATTACCATTTAAATAGCTTTTAGGATTTTGAAGGAATGAGAGTACATGCCAAAACAGTCTTCTGAACTCAGCCATGTCAGTTGACAGCATATCACGATATAATAACATAGAAACCTACACAATTTTTAAAACAAATTGTCCTTATTGGTCTATATACTTGCTTATTTAAACAGTCTCCTCCTTGATGTGATTCAACAAAGCATACCCTCACTTTACCACTTACCTATGTTGAGAAAAGAAGTCTTGGGATCCCAGATTAAAGGACGTATTTATTAGTCTTTAGTTGATTTTTTTTCATCTATAGCCTGTATTTAGAACTAATATTGTGCATTATGAAAAAGCAACACATTTAATTTTAGCAGTTTAATTTTCAGAATTATTGTTCTTAAAAAAAAATAGTTGAATAGACGGGAAAAAAACCCAGCACATGAACTCTACCTCATCTACACTTATTTTCTTGTTGATTATCTTTTTTGTGGTTTTTAAGGGTTCTGAATTTCTTCTGTTGGATATTCAGCTTTTGGTAATTTTGCCGATCCACAGTACTTTGCAGTGGTTCTCAGAGAAGTAAAGAAGGTGAAATTCACAGAAATCGATTCATTGCTTTAATAGGGCAGCTGAAATGTTTGAAAAAGAAAGAGTCTTGGAGAGTGTTAGCTCAACATTACTGCAACCTTACCACCGTCACTGTGGGCACTATATTATTTATTACAGATAATCTACATCTGTTACCAAAAGACTTGTGCTTGTTGGTTTATGCTGACAATAAGAAGGGAAACTATGAATGAACTATCTAGAAATCCTTTTGCCAACATATTCATTTGCAGGAGTCAATTTGGGACCCTGGCTTTGTGTTTTTATTGTCTCGCCACCCCACTCCAATTTGTGATTCACATTTTTTAAAAAATGAGAAATAGGTATTAATTTAGTAATCCTTTTATTCCTCACCCAACTAAAAGGTAACCTTATCCAGGGAACCCATTCCTGCTTGAGTGAACCAAGTTTAATCATATGGTTAATGAATGGATATTTCCATGGCCGGTGTGAGAGTTGTTTGTTCAGACTCCCAATTTGTCTGTTCCTAATTAGACTTTCTTGTTAGTATGGTAGCTAAAGTGGATCATTTGATAGATAGTTCATGAGCAGAGCAGAATATGGTAAGTTATACCCAACTCTTGGAGTTGAAGGGATCCTGTACCCTTCTTTTCCCATCTGCTAGTCTTTCTCTGTTTAGTCCTGCTTCTTAAACATTTTGATTTGCATCTTTAGATTTGCCCAGCTTATTTATGTATTTTACTCTAAAACTCTGGGCGTCAGAAAGGTGCTTATCCTTCAGGAAAATCTACCAGGCATCAGGAAGAGGGCTGACTTCTGGTTTTTCATAAGAAATGAAACCAATCCTGCCTCTGGTGGAGCTTTGCAGGCAGGCCCATGGCCATGTGCCCAGGATTGCCACTTTCCACATGAGTTACAGCAACATGTTTGTAACACTTGAAACCAGGAGCCATCACTCAGTCATTTCTTTTTCTCTGTCTTAAACCACAGGATTTATTGGATCATTCGTGTACATCAGGAAGTGGCTCTGGTCTTCCTTTTCTGGTACAAAGAACAGTGGCTCGCCAGATAACACTGTTGGAGTGTGTCGGTAATTCTCCCCCCCCCTTTTTTTTTGGGTGAATAATAGGTCATGTTAGCTGTGGTGGTACAAGAAGGATAGAACTTGCAAAGTCTGCTTCTGGTGCTTATTGCTTCCTTATTAAACTTAGGCGATGTCACACATGTAGCTCACTGAACTTCAGGAGGCGTGGGATGGTTGTAGCTAGTGTAGAGAACACCCAGTCAAAGTTTTCATTACATGTGAACCCTTTGGGATGGTGGCAATGCTTGAAAAGTGAATTGATGATGACTGTCCCCTACTGCAGGTATGGAATGATCCAAGGTAAGTCAGTATTGGGATAGTGAAGTTGTTTATTGCAAGTCTCTAATCCCTCTCAGTCTCCCCTTTTCTTGAAAAATAATGATAAATGGGTATAATTATATGTCAATTGAAAATTTTAAAAAAGTGCTTTTAAAGGTTTTTAAAAAACCGAAATTTTACCAAAGGTACTTTTGTAATTCCTTTATTTACAATAGCTATGTGCATTTTTATGGCCTTTCATTTTCCCCGTATGGGAACATATTTTTATGTTGATATAATCATGGAGCATGATTTACTTTATGCCCTCTTTTTAGTTTTAAGCTCACATAGCTTTTGTGTATTTGCATACATCAGAATTAGTCTTAAAGCGTTTCTAAGAATCCACTGGTTGAGTTTACAGTACCACTTGAAAAACGATTTTGCACATATTGCTTCTTTGTTTTGAGTTCTCAGAATCAATTCCCAGGAATTGGGTGTTTTTTTTTTGGTCAAAACTTGTGATTAACTTATTGTTTTATATTGTTCTACAGAAAAATAGTGTAAAACGTTTTTTAAAACTTTTTTTTCAATCCTGGAACTGAACCTAGAGGTGCTCTAGCTTTGAACAATATCCCCAGCCCCCCACCTTTTTTTTTTTTTTAATTTAGAGACAGGATTCACTAAGTTGCTGAGGCTGGCCTTGAACTTGGAATCCTCCTGTCTTAGGTTCCCAGGTAGCTGGAATTGGTGTGCTCCACCATGCCTAGCAAATGCTTTTTTAAAGTCCTAATTTTTGTTAGTTTTAACATGGGGTGTGTGTATTTGCAGAGTGCATGATGTTTTTCATTGATTACCCCTTCAGATGCCATTCAGGGATGGCTACGGTAGTGATAATGGCTTAGTACCACCTCTACTTTCCTCCCAGTGCTCAGGGTTTCTTTAGACAGTTTGGGGTGCCTGTCCTCTCAGCCTTTGGGGAAGTGGCTGATTGTCATCCACTGCCTTGGCAGTTATCCTGTGGGTTTTCTTTCTTCTTGTTTTCATGGGAAGAGGGATACCCCAAGCTCAGGATTAGAAAAGAGGATCCACAGAAGTAGGAAGAGCAGTGACTGCTGACTGAGGCACATGGGTGATGGGCAGCAGCTTTGTTCACTTTTCTTTAGTTCTGCAGCTATCATAACTGTCTCCCATTGTACCTGTCTCCTGCACAGCAGACTGAGAATAGAGCAGGTAAAGCCAGAAAAACCCCAGATGTGCTCGTTACAAGCAACCAGAGTTGTCCTCTTATACTTACCAGCATCCTGTTTGATTATGAACCTGTGTGTCTGCGTAGTGGTGTGAAGGCAGTGAAGGGGGATGTGCACCTGTATCACCTACCCTCTATTCCTATCCTGGGGCTGCTTACCCCTCAGAGTTGGCAGAGATTAGATCCAGAGTCTCAACGGCCAAATAATATTGTACCTTTAAAAATATAAATGATTTCTTGTTCTATAGTTGTTCTTCAGCATTTTTTTGCGATAGTGTGAATTTAATTTTTACATTTTGTTGGGTTGGTGCTAAAGATTTAATGAAAGCAGTGATGTGCATTCATGTGGTACAGCTTTGGATAAAAATATATGTGATAAACTGCATGGGTAGCGTGTTATCATTTGTGTTTCAAAAACCACATGAAGTTGGATCAGGTCAATAAATGCCCAAATTTTAGGTACCTTGAGAATCTCCTTTGGGGGCACATGGCCAGGGCTTTTGGGAAACTCCACTTTTATAGGGGCCTTCTGCGTGTGATTGCTTTTTCAAAAAACATTTGACAAAAGCATTTGAAATTCATTGAAATTGATTTCTATTTTAATTTTATCTACCCTTTTTTCTTGTGGAGGAGAAAAAATGAAGGATTTGAAGTGACTTTATGTCCACAATTCTTTGGGCTGTTTTTCTTTCCTTCCTAATGAAAGAATGCAGGTAAAGGGCAAATAAAAATACAAAATGGAACTGTAGACAGGAAAAGATTAGCATATCATTTTTCTGGCTTCCGATTTTGTAGCATCTTTGCTCTAGCCCTGGTCTTAAGTTACAAGTGCTGAGCAATTGCTGTGATTTGATTAATAGAATTCTGTATTAAACAGTGTCTGTTTAATACAGAATTCTATTAATTAGACCCAACAGTGGCCCACAGTGAGCACCTATTGGCCTCTTTTAACTTTATTTTGGATTAATCATTGGGGTTTCATGGGAACATTGGTTCCTCGGGAGTCTAGATTTAGTGGTTTTGAAGATATTTCAGGGGTGTTGCTTAGACAGACCTGGGCTGTCTCCATATTTGAGTTCTTCCTCAATGGTTTAATTTTCTAGCCAGGGACTATATTCCTGCACTGCAGGTGGTTCTGTAGCTGCTTATTACAACCCTGTGATCCCAGCCACCACTTGCCTGGGCAGAAATCCCCACTCCCCTGTAAGTTGTATCTCCTGCCTCTTTGTTGCCCAGGCTAATTATACCTTGTGTTGATGCCCATAGTACTGAGGTAATTACCTCCTCCCAACCTCCCTGATCACCCCTACCTGTAATTAAAGAGAATGTGAACATGTCCTTGACAACTGACACATATATGGCTTTGGCAGGAGGGGACTATAGACTAGACAGGTCAGACCCCAACTAATGTCACTGTGTTTTTAAAAATGTATTCTCCAAGTGGTCTTTTCATGCAGGGGTTGTCTAATAAACAAATACCCATGACCAATGTCAGAAATCAAAACGGTTGTGGGATTATGTGTTTAAGATTGCAAATCCTCTTTAGAAACATATCCTCCACCAAGAAAGCCTGTAGGGATGGTGGTTGTGAGGTTGACGATCTCCCATGTACCTTGTGTTTTGTTATCTTTGTTTCTAATCCGCAGAACACACATCTTAAATTTAATATTCTTTTTTGTGAAAAAATGCATACATAAATTCAGATTTGTATGCTTAGTAAATGCCTACGGTGATTCCGTAAGAAGGAGCCATCATGGAAGCTATTAAATTCAGCTACACACATCTTTTTTTGGCTTTTAGCACAACATTGAAATCTAATAATCCATACCATGATCTAGATTTTAAGAACTTGCATATGTTTTTGAAAGTCATATGCATTTTATGCCTTTCAGTAGAGGAATTTAAATTTAAACGTTGTAATTAATAGCAAAGTGTACAATGCAGATACAGATGACAGCTTATTATCACTTTGGGTAGGGCAGATTCCATCCACCTTTTATATATCTTCACAGGCAAAAGGTTGTGGTATTGATATTCCCAAATTGAGTTTCCATGGCAAGTAATGGGAGGGATTGAATTGCAGACACTAGGTTCACAGGTGTGTTCTTAGGAGTCAGGCTGGCTGCCTCTCCTGGGTCACCCTCCAGCGACTCCTCTTTTATTTTCCGCAGGGAAAGGCAGGTATGGTGAGGTGTGGAGGGGCAGTTGGCAAGGGGAAAATGTTGCCGTGAAGATCTTTTCCTCCCGTGATGAGAAGTCGTGGTTCAGGGAAACAGAATTGTACAACACTGTGATGCTGAGGCATGAAAATATTTTAGGTAAGTACAAGGATGCCCCTCAGTTAATTGTGTCTTAGGAGAGGGAACTGGTGACATTTGCCCTCTCTCTTTTGCTGAATGTGAATTTGAGAGTCTGTCTTGAAAAGTAGAATAGGGAGCCTCAGCATTTATATACTGTTTAGTTTTCTTTTAACGCCAATTTCTTGTATAAATCTGCAAATAAGTTAGGTTGTAAGATTCTCTGGATGATGAAAAGGAAATCCGTTATTGCTCATTCTTATTCCTACATCTGCAGATCGTTATTTAAACAACAAAAATTTGCCCTGTATTGTTCACTTCAAGGCTTCATGGGTTGTTCTACTTACCCCACCCTTTTTGAATATTTATTAGTTGAATCAAACTAAGAAAGATCTTTGGATTCTTTCCTAGAGATTCACAGCTCCCAGGGACACCATAATTAAATGCACATTCCCTCAAACTAGGCATCATTTTTAAAGACCAGATTTCCAGAGGGATTCAGCATACATTTTAGTTTGGAAACTAAAGCTTAGCAACATTTGTGAAATATGTAAAGTGCCCACTGAAATCCTGCAATGGCAGTATAAGGGCGAACCTATTCCTTGGGCCATTGACTTCAGTAACTTTGCAAGATTTCTCTTAATGTGTTTACACTAACATGGAGGGAGAATGCTACCTGCTTCTTTAACCTGATAGCATAGTGTCAGCTGCTTCGTGGCTATTGGATTAGCTCTGACGCATAGGAAGACCATGGCCAGAATGTATTTCTGTTCTACTACTATTAATTAGTATTTAAATCCGAATTAAGTGTCACAGACAGTGGTTTGATGGTTGTTCAAAGCTTCGGTGCAGCCGCGATGTTTCTTCTCAGAAACATCTCAGTTTCTGCTATCGATTTCTCCCCTTCCCTTCCCTCTGGGGCCCTCATCATCACCTAATCCTCCCCAGTGCTATTGTTGCTGTCAGCTACCAATTTCCAGCCCCTCACACCACACTGAATTGTCTTCCCCCGAGGAGCAGAGATAATTCTGCTCAAAGTGTCTTTGACGGTTCCCAAACTGCCTACAACATTTATGACTTCTGGCCCAGCCTTCAAGACTCCCTATTTTGGGCCTCCTTGTGGTCTCTTAAGCATTAACTACCAATATGTCCACATTCTGCTGCCACCAATAGATGCCATTCCTTGGGATTGCCATGAACACTGAGGTCTCTTTGTCCCTGTGCATGTTGTTTTGATCACCCACTGTCCCCTTCCCATCCTACAGTCACCTCTTCCTCCATTAAAACTTCTCAGTTCCCTTCCAGTTTCTCCCAGGAGAATTGCTTGTGCTTTGTGCACAGCTTCATGTTGTACTCTGCTCTATTTTTACACACTGCCATGTGTTACCGTTAGATGTCTGTGTGTAACCACAGTAATGACGACAATAAGAACACTATCAAAAATAGTGAGGGGTAGTTACTATGCAGTAACTATTGATCTAAGTGCTTCATGTGCATATTCTCATGTAACCTTCTCTACAACCATAAGAGGGTAGTTTTTTCTTATTTTTCCGGTTTTAATTTACGAAGCAGCTGATGTACAGGGAGGTTGAATAGGGGAGCTGGGAATCACACTGGGCAACCTAACTCTGTCTTGCAGTTTTGTATCCTGCTCTGGTCTGCTAGACAGTCAGATAGCAGTGGAGTTGCTTTCTAGAGTCTAGAGTCAGGGTATGAGATGAAAATTTGTCTATAGTCAAAATAACCTTTGAATGTCCTGTTTCTCTCTCTGCCACTAGAACAAATTGAGTTAGTTGTGTTAAAAGCCATCTCATACAAAAATATTTCTCTCAAATAGTAGAATTATTCTTCACAATCAGGTACACATACCCTTAAGAAGCTCGTGAGGTCTGAGACTTGTTGAAGGAAGGGCACATTCACATATCCCCACTGACAGAGCTCACAGACTCATTGTGCAAAATATGCCATATATTGTTGTAATCTGCAAATGGTCTCATAACCATGCACTCTAGTTAAATTGCCTATGATACATACCATTGTACTCTGTGGACAAGTATCGTTTGCATGGCTTTTGCCTTCACACCTAGAGCTAAACACAGTACCTTGCACATGGCAGAATATATTTATTAAATTGGATTTAATCACAAGGAAAATTTGAAAGGTACCTTTACAGTATAATTCAAATATAAGAAGTTAGATTCCCTTAGTGTGATCACATAGGGGAAAACATTATCTAATTCTTATTACCTAATGATCTGTGGAAATTCTGAATTCATAAGATCTTTCTACCTTTATTATAATCACAGCCATATGGATTGTGTAGTCTTTCTAATTAAGAAAGATCATAAAAACAGATAGCCTTTTGTACAGACTTTTTTTTTTTTGTTGGAGACAGGCTCTGGCTGTGTTTCAGGCAGACCTAGAACTCCTGGATTCAAGTGATCCTCCTGCCCCTGCCCCAGCTTCCTGACTAGCTGGGAATACAGGTGCATGGTACCACACCTGGCTTACATGCTGTGTTTGAATATAAGATCATGATCCCTCCCACCCATAAGTCCCCCAAAATATATAACTAAATTCTATCTATGTATATTTCTATGTATCTATGTATCTGTCTGTACATGTAAAACTCTGGGCCCTCAGTTTTTATTCCCTTAGCCAAACCTATAAAATAACATTTTTCAAATGGACTGGTTTGAATTTCAACTCTTTCTTCTGTTATGTCTAGTGTGGCACTTAACATGTAAGTGACCACAGGAACACTGTGTCACATGATAGCAGCAATAGTCGTCTGGGAGTTTGGGAGACTGGCTTCTACTCTGGACACTGTTAGAGGCCCACTGTTTTATTTGGGATCAAAGTTGTATCTTTCTGAGCATTCTTTTCCTCAATACTAAAACTACAGAAGTTGCTTAATATGAGAATTCACTCCAAAGTCTTGTGTTAGACCTTTTGAAAAACATGTTATAAAATATACATAGCATAAAACTTGCCACTTTACCATTCAAAGTATGCAGTGGCACTGAGTTCACCTATCTTGTGCAGCCATCTCCACCTTCCCACTCCAGAGCTGTCTTGTGCTCAGAAAAGGCACTCCCTGACTGTTCCACCAGTCCCAGTTTCTTAAAACTGATGCAAGGAAAGGAAACTACTTGTTCAAAAAAATATTAAATTACAAAAGCTGCTATTATGGCTTTGACTGAACTCTGGGCTGTTTTAAAATGTATTACTGGCCAGCCATTCTTAAATGCTTCCTGTGTGTGAGACATCAGGTCAAGCATTTTACATACAGTGTTGCTTTTATTCTAACAGTTACCCCTGGACATATGTTGCCATTACCCTCATCTTACGAATGAGGAAGCTGGAGGAGACTCTATGTGACTTGGGCAAGGTCACCCAGTTTGGGATGGTGGGGCTGACCTGTGAGCCAGTCCTGCAGCTTTGGGCACAGCCCTCTCTGGCTCTGCTCTGGGTGGTGGCCTTACATCTTGGCTGTCACAGCTGCCCAGTACCTGGTTCCCATGAGTGGTGCCAGTGAGAGGCTCACAAGGGGCACTGGTCACCTTACTTAAGACTGAGTTTTATTTTTAGCTCTTGAAAAGGCTGGGAGGATGACATTGAGTGTGAAGTAAGAGGCCCTAATTACTTTGTCCCCTGGTTCGGAACACATCCAGTGCCTATGCCAGAGTTCCAACCTCTAGCCCCTGCTCAACCTCCACTAACAATAGAGTGCTTTGACTCAAAACACAAATAGCCCACCAAAGTGCCCCAGCATTGTGAAACAAATGGAGTTATATAATCCACACTTGAGAGAGAAATAGTTTTTAAGAAGTCTCCTTATTTAAAAAGTCATTTTTCCTGAAGGTTCAGAACATAATTAATGAGGTGACAGAATCCTTCTTTTTAGACCAAGGGTGGTGAGGGAAAGTAAGGGAATCAAAAGTTTGATTTTCATTTATTTAATCAGAGGCTACTTTTCCTTGGGGAAAGAAATCAGCAGAGGCCACACAGATATGCAATAGCAATTCTTTAAAGTGCTGATGTTTTTTTTTTTTTTTTTCTTTCTGTTTTTGTTTTTTGGTTTGGGGTATTTCTTTGGGGAAAAGTTATTGAAGATTAAAAGTTCTTTTAGTAGGCTCCAAAGTTTCCTCAAAATTTCAGTGTCTGTTCACAATTGTCAGAGTCTCACTTCCCTTTGAGAGCAGTTCAGATGTCACTTTCTGATGGAAGCCTTTTGTAACATCTCAATACCTACTCTGGGCTTGTGTTGCCCTTTGTAGAGTATATATTATAATACATTTCAAATATTGTAGTTTTTTTTTCCTTTTTATGTGTCTTTTCTAGCCAACAAATATTGTCAACATCATGTTTCTGTGTGACTGAAAAAAGAGCCTCAAATTTTTCAATATTTCTTATCAGTTCCTTCTTTATTTGATGAATAAAGTCAATCATATAGCAAATTCATTCCTTTATTTTACAGTTGAGCAGATAAAGGTCAAAGAACCCACAGGAGTTGCCCATTATTATGCAGAAATCACAGGCAGGCAGGACTAGCATATAGGTATCCAGGTTCTGGATTTTGTGGGTTTTTTTTTTTTTTTTCCAGGATGCTTGATGAATGATCTGTGCTTGGAATATCAACATTATGAAGAATTTGGCACTATTATTATGCATGAACACAAAGTAACCTTTCTGAATCTTAATACAACATAAAGATATTTTCTAAAGGATCACTTACAATGGAAACTAATATGAAAATTTCCAATTAATTAGTGCCCCTTTAAGGAATAAATGCTATTGTTTTCTCTGTTGCTGGGTCTGTTAACCTCTCATGGCAATTGCTATTTACTTGTTTTTGTTGCAGGTGATTTCTACTGTGTAAGTCACTGTGTCTGGATATGAAGAGTTACAGTGTGGAATGCTCACATGTCTAATTTAATTTTGTTTTTACTCTCTCCAGGTTTCATTGCTTCAGACATGACATCAAGACACTCCAGTACCCAGTTGTGGTTGATCACGCACTACCATGAAATGGGGTCATTGTATGACTATCTTCAGCTCACTACTCTGGATACAGTTAGCTGCCTTCGAATAGTGCTGTCCATAGCTAGTGGTCTTGCACATTTGCACATAGAGATATTTGGGACCCAAGGGAAGCCAGCCATTGCCCATCGAGATTTAAAGAGTAAAAACATCCTGGTGAAGAAGAATGGACAGTGTTGCATAGCAGATTTGGGTAAATTAAAAAAAAAAAAAAAACCAAACATTTTTTAATTACCATTTTTACTTCTGTTTTCTCCAGTGTCTAGCCAGGTTGCTCTTCTTTTCTGAGACACCTCAGGAAAGTCACCTTAGACTCAGCCAGTCACTGTCCCATTTTCAAAGGCAACTAATAACGTCACGTAACGATTTTGCAAACTTTCACATGAAATAGGTGCACAGTGAAATACTCTGTGGAATGAGTAGGTCTTAAAGATGTTTTCTAAAATCATTCTTCTATAACTAAGACAAAATTATCAATTTGAGAAAGAGCAAAGTAGTTCATTTTGTTCTACTACAGTATATAATTTTCATGGTGTTAGGGTAATTCTCAGTGTAGTTTTTTTTTTAATATTTTGTAGTTATAGATGGACAAAATGCCTTTATTTTATTTATTTATTTTTATGTAGTGCTAAGGATCAAACCCAGTGCCTCCATGTGCTAGGCAAGTGCTCTGCCACTGAGCTAAAGCCCCAGCTCTCAGTGTAGTTTTTAACTGCACTATTAAGAAGATTATTTCCATGTACCATGGCATTTCATATAAAACTGTATTCATCCTAAATGCCTAAAATATTGACTGAATAATTTTGCTAATAAGAACTGAGTTATAATATTGGTTATTTATTTCAGTGGACTATTGAGAGTCCTTATGTTACTTGATTAAAAAATGGTTTATCACACTATTGCAGTTATTGTTAAGACTGATAAAGGTTTAGGCAAAATTAGCTTTAATTATAACAAAATAAGGCTTATTATTATTTTGTTGTCTGTTTTTAAACACAAGGGATATGACACATTAGGAAAATTTACTTCCTTTGAATCCCTTGAAATTCTTCTCTTTCATGTTTAGAAATTATTTTACAATAAGTACATGACCCTGAGGCTTTTTGCAGGCAGTTTTGTTGTTGTGTAGAAGATGCTTATGGCTTGTGTTATATCTCTCGGTGCAGGGCAATTTGGGTTTAAATTCTGACTTTCTCTTTTATTTACCCTGTGTTTTTGCATGAGTCTGTGCAAGCAGTGTTAGCCCAAGGGCTGTACTTATGCCCCATTCTGTACTTCTGCACCGTTTGAAACTTTGATCATTGCAATGTATGTGTATTACTCATAAAACTAAAAAAACAATTAGGCCTACCACACAGGATTCTGATAAGGCTGAGAAATTATCATCAATGCCTGGCAAAGGATTCAAATGGTTGCTACTGTTATAATCTAGTGGCCTCAGGGGGATGGATAAATTGAGCTCTTGACTTTAGGATGTGAGACTTGTAAGGAAAAGAGTGGGGGGCATTTTGTAATAAGTTTTTCAGCTACAGTTGGTTTTGATCTGCAGCCTTTTAATTAGATACATCAGGTGATTTAAAAATCTGCACTAAGATGTTAGTATTCAGGGGATTGATAATGTAGTATGGGAAACGGCTCTTATAAGACCATAATCTGTATATAATTTTTTACATTATATTCAGAAATTAAGGCTCACTCATTAGAAATAGTTCTATATTTTTAAAAATATTTTTTTAGTTGTAGATGAACATAGCACCTCCATTTATTTATTTATTTATTTGATGTGGTGCTGAGGATCAAACCCTGTTCCTCACATGTGCTAGGCAAGCTCTCTACCACTGAGTCACAAACCCAGCCCCTCATTCTATTATTAATACTTATGAGTGGCATTCCATTTATTTTTTTTTTTGAACTTTTTATTGTAAAAAATTCAAACATATATATATAAAGATTGAGAGAATTGTACAGCGGTCACTTTAAATTCTCAACACCTAAATTGAAATACTTTGGCACACTTGCCTTATCTGTATATGGTCCTGGCTGTATTTTTGCTAACCTCTTTGAAAATATGTTGAAGACACCACAACACTTTTCTCCTGATGACCTCAAACACATCCTCTAAAAATGTCTCAAAAATACATCTCCAATGTAACCAATTCTTGGTAATTTTCTAATATCATTAATATCTATTTTCAAATGTTTCCAGTTCTTTTTCAAATAAGAATTCACAGATTGCATGTGTTTGTTTTGTTTTTTTAATGTAAAAATTATTTATTAGTAGGTAACATATTCCCTGTAAAACTTCGCAGTTTAAAATGACACAAATGTATCAGTTTAAAATGACACAAATGTATCGTCTCACTCATCCCCTTGAGGGTCAGGAAGCTTGGAATGACTTCTGGCACAGGGTCTTGTGGAGGGTTCAGTCAAGCTGCTGGTCATCTGGGTCGTAGTCATCTGAGAGGCTTGATGAAGGCTAGAAGGTCCAGTTCAGTGATGGCGCACCCACATGACTACAGGCAGCAAGCCCCAGTTCCTTACATGTGGCCCTCCACAGGGCTGCTGAATGTCTTTGTAACATGATGTGAGAGCCATGAGAACAAACCAGGAGGCTTTTATAATTATCTGATGTCTTTTATGTCCTAATTTTAAAAACACAACTCATTACTTTTGCCATATTATCTTTAGTAGTTCAGCCCACACTAATGGGATGAGAAATTTAGGGTCACCTTTTGAAGAGAAAAGTTTCGAAGAACTTGTAGACATATTTTAAAAGCATGCTCGGCGCGGTGGCGCACACCTGTAATCATAGCGGCTCAGGAGGCTGAGGCAGGAGAATCGTGAGTTCAAAGCCAGCCTCAGCAAAAGCGGGGCATTAAGCAATGCAGTGAGAACCTGTCTCTAAATAAAATACAAAACAGGGCTGGGGATGTGACTCAGTGGTTGAATGCCCCTGAATTTAATCCCCAGTACCCCCCCACCCAAAAAAAAAAAAAAAAGGGCTGGGGATGTGGCTCAGTGATAAGCACCCCTGGGTTCAATCCCTGGTACCAAAATAAATAAAAGCACCACAGTTGTATTGCCATGTTTTGTTTAAATTGTATCCTTTTAATCTTCTGATATTTCATCTCTGGTTCTGGGAATGGTGAGGGGCATATATGATTTGGGAAATGTTTACAATGGCCTTAGAATCTTAGAGTTGATTATAAAAATAGGGGAAGAGGGATCCACACTGCTTTAGTAAACATCTTAGCTAATTTTTAAGGATGAGATAACAATATGCTACCTCCCTGGCGTTACATAGAGTCATCGTCCCACACATTCGAAGGCATGAAGTGAAAAGAGAAGGATTCTCAACAGATGGCTGAGGGAATTCCAAGAGATCTTTGGATTGCACAGATTTACAGGGGCATCTTGCTCCATGTTGGCACTTTTCATTATATCAAGTGAATTATTTTCAGTTGGTCTATGTATGCATCAATAAGTAATTCATCCTCAAATAAACCATGTCTGAATCCATCTATCCCCCCCCCCCCCCCCGCCCGCCGCTAGTCAGGAATACCAGGTCTCTCTCATTGACTGAGGAATTCTGAAAAGAGCCCTGTTTTAAGTGTTTCAGGGCCTGTTGCAGTCTGCCCTTTATGTGGTGACAAATTACCTGAAATTCTCAGTCTCACACTGTTTGAAATTTATGTTTGGAGACGAGTGGGAATGGTGGAGGAGCTTGAGAGCTTAATTTACTTGTTAAGCCACTTTGAGGCTCACACTTAACATGGGAGCCTGTTTTCCTATGGACTTCAAACACTGGCCTCATATGGATTGAATGCATGGGTCTGCCATTTGCCCAAAACTTTTTGTCCCTTAGAGGGTCATGTAACTCCACAGTGTTTCTAGTATTAGCCTTCTTTTCTGTTCTCACTCCAAAAGTCACCCCAAGTATTCCAGGGATTATTCTGGGTGTAATGCAGCAGTGACCACACGTACCACCAGAGGGCACTTTTGACTGGGGTTGGTTTAAAATCCTTTCAAAAGCCTTTCTGTGAGAAAGGAAGTGAGCTAATTTGCACTGTTGTCTTCTTCCTTTCAGGCCTGGCAGTCATGCATTCCCAGAGCACCAATCAGCTTGATGTGGGGAACAACCCTCGTGTAGGCACCAAGCGCTACATGGCCCCTGAAGTTCTAGATGAAACCATCCAGGTGGATTGCTTTGATTCTTACAAGAGGGTCGATATTTGGGCCTTTGGACTTGTTTTGTGGGAAGTGGCCAGGCGGATGGTGAGCAATGGTAGGTATCTGATATGATATTGTCCTTGTCCCCCTTCTCTTGACATTGATACTGTTGAAAGGGGAAGTGGGGAGACAGAGGCCTACCTGGTTCCTTGAATCATACTCGTGAAACTCTGGGAGTGTATATCTGACTTGTGGCTGGTAGGTGAACTGACTGCCACAGCATCGTGTTTGAAGCATAAGAGGAAATGACAGCTGAGAAACAGTTGTTCTGGAGGAGACTAATTTCCTTGGGTTGTGTTTGGTTGGTCCATATTTCATTTCTTCCTATTTGACTTTCTCTTTACCTTCCTTTCCTCTTTGTTCTTCTCATAAGGTAGGTTTAACTTGAGGAGAATGCTCTCAAGTGAGCCTTAGGGTGAATTCTTCTGTTTTAGACATTTTCACTTCTTATGATTGGCTTATTGAGAAAAGGGTTCAGTTTTCACACTTTGAAGCCATTCCTTTCTGAATAATTCCAGTTTCAATTCGGGGAGCCCTCAATAGGTGGCTTATGTTGATCTGTTTATAAGTAGTTTAATGAAATGGTGTTGCTTAGCAGTTAAGGGCACAAATAGGTCAACAATGAGTTGACCTGTATCCCTATGGTGAGCTCTGGCTCTTATCTTTTATGTACCCAAATCAATCTCAAATATATATTTAGACTTTAAGGTACTTTGTGTTTGGAAAGGATTAAATCTTTTTAAAAATTGGGCATGCCCCAACAACACACAAAGTTGTGTTTTTTGTAGCACAATCTCTTGAATAAGCTTGATGAACTTCTTCATAACTTCACCACTTGAAGTCTTATTTCACACAGCATGTATCTGAAATTATCCCAGAAAAACAAAAGAAAATGTCATATATTTAGATTTCTATTAATTTCCAATGACACTTTACATTTTATTCTCCTGTGATCCATTATGATCCTGGATTTAAAGTATTTGAGAAAAAAAAAAATGCATGAAGCCTCTAACATCTATGCTCCATCAACCTTCCATGGATACTTTCTTCTAAGAATTGAGATTTTGGGGGTAATCATCATTTTCATGACTACACAGTCAGACTAGGAGATTATGTGGTGGAAATGGAATTGGGAAATTTAATATAGTTTTAGTGTACAATAATTAAAATTGGCATGCCTTCACGATAGCTTTTTGTGTGATAGCAGAGTGTATCTGCTTTGAACAAACCCTCTGAGAGTACTAAAACAAGTGTTTCAGAGTAAACATACAAGGATCATAACTTGACTACTCTTTTAAAGTATATATATATATATATTTTTTTTTTTATGAAGTCACGAACATTTTCTTGGTAATTCTTTCTCAATTGCTGGGAGCCACTGCCTTGGCAGTTTGTGCCATTGAAGCGCCTTGAGAATTGTTTGCAACAGAGGGATTGTTTTGCTGATTTATAAAGTTCTGAACTTTGCCTGAAATTGCACATCAGCTTCATTTCTCGCCCCACCCCCCAATCATTCTTGAGAACCTTGGAACTGGAAAAAAAAAAAAAGTGTGACTCTGAGTAGTTTATCTTACAGAGACTGTAGAGAAGGATTGGTCTCAGAATAAACTGTGTGATGGGGAACTTCCCCAAATGAAGAGGAAGCTGGCATCCCACGGCCAGCACAGTAGCACTTCCAGCTGTGGGCGTGCGGCGCAGAGCCAAGCAGGCTTGCTTGGCAGAGACTTGGGATTCGGCTTTGTAAGAACTCATGTTGCAAACCCGTTCCCTGTGTCATAGGCATAAACCCAAATGGCTTTTAAAGATCAGCTGTGATTAATAGTAGTCAGTTTGAAGTTAGAGTCATCCATTTAAAATTTAGCTCAACAAATGTTAGCTTGCTTGCTAGATCCTGTGTTCAACATTATTTTTGGAAAACACAGTTGTGGATGGTGGAAGAGAGAATGTTTTGGTTGCTTTTGATTTATTGATCTCCTTTTTCGCATCATTTAGCTGCTAGCTATTTCCTAAAACTTTGTGGGTTGAACTTCTGTGATATGGTTTGATTTTTAGGGGGGTGGGTAAGGGTATCTTATTTCTCATGTAAATCAGCTATTGTCCTTTGGCAATGACTAATTTGATATTTTCCCCTTTTCTTTCTGTGGTCCTTTCTCTTCTAAGAACATTCACGTGGACACCCCCACCCCAACCCCTACCCCCCAGCTACAGATCAGTTTATCTAAACTCAGGCTTAATAGTTTCCCATGTTACTTGAAAACCTACTTTACTAAAATTAGTACTTTAATGACTACTCCCCTAAAATGAAAAAGTGAATAGAAAGAAAAACAAGAAAATTTTTGTTTTCAGATTTTATTCACGTTTCTTTGTACTTCTTTGTGCACTCTTTAAATTCAGTTGTAATCCTATAAATTCAAATCTATATCATCTTTTTCATTTGTGTGTGTGGTTTTCACATTGTCATATCGTCCCTGTACTTGTTTTAAATGCTCACATAATATTTTATTAATTTATCCATTTCCATATTGTTAGAGTACATCCTGTCTCCCCATTTGGGGCCTATAGTAGACATTTCTGTGCACATCACTTTTTCATTTGGAGAATTCATTCCTAATCTGAAAAGAAGCAGATTTAATAGGTCAAAGAGTATGGACATTTTTATGATTTGGAACACATTGCCAAATTGCTTTCCCTTAGAGCAGTTCTAATTTACAATATCCTTCTCACCCCAGGGTGTGATGTACCTGTTTCACTTTCTTACCAGCTTTAGGTACTATCATTAAAGGAATATAGATTTTGAAATTATTGTATATAAAATGTACCTCATTTAAATATGTGAATGTCTTACATTAAGAAGGTTATTATAATTATACATCCTTTGAGTTTCAGAGTCCATTATAAAAATTGATGACCAGATAGTTCTCTTGGAGCAATATGATCCTCAAGTGAACTATGAGCATAAAAATATGTAGTATTTTGTATTTTTATTGGAATTGTACATTTATTTTCTACTAATAATAAACCTCATGCTGTTTCTGTACAGGAAATGAGAGTTAAGTCCATTTTCACATGTGAACATTTCTCAATAGTGTCTTTTGGAATTTACTTGTGGTGTCAGTTTGACACTGAATTTGGAATTGGTAGGAAAGAAAACCGTTTTCTCACTTCTCCTGTGTGAATATGTGCATGAACTTCAGGTAGGGTTTTGCTTAGATCAGTAGTTTTGAAACTGGAGCGTGCACCACAATCACGTACAGAGCTTGTCGAGACACACAGTGCTGGGCCCCAGCCCCCAGAACTTTAGTAGATCTAAGGTCAGAAGATTTGATGCCACCATTCCTTTCTGCATATACGCAACTCTGGATATAAAACTTTTTTGAGAAGGCGATGTACCCTTATTGCGCAGGCACATACCGGAAGAAGACAGGACAAATCTGTTTCTCTGGTGTTTGGTGGTTATATGGCTTATCGAGATGTTTTTTTTCTGTCTTCTGTTGCTCTGCGTCTCTGGAGATGTCACTACACACAGGAGACTGCTGGACTGTGCTCTCCAGAGCTGGGCAGTGCTTTTCCTGGGCCCACTGGAGGCAGCAAAAGGGAATCAGTAACACTCTGGCCCCTGAGATCATGCTTTCTGACCCAGTCCCTTTGATTAATTTCAACACTTGAAAAATATAGGTAACATCCACTTAAAAAGGTGATGATGATTAAATGAGGTCACAGAGGTGAAGCACTTAGTGTGTGTGTGGCTTAGAGAGAGTGCTTTGGTCCTCATATTTTGGTTACTTTGCAAAATGGCAAGTTTCTAGGAGCTTGCAGACCTCAGACACCCTTTTCTCCTCCTCACTGTGCTAGCACTTGGCCTGGACATGACCTTCGCTTCCCCTTTTCCCTGCCCATGGGAAGCTTCTGTGGAACACTGTTTCACTGGCTTTGATTATTTTGTGATGAAATCCAGCATTCACATGTGTCAAAAACTATTTGGGTCTTAGAGATAAACCCTGGCTGGCCAAGCTGCACCTCTTCGGGGATGGGGACTAGAAAACTCTTGTTAGAATAAGCTTATGTTTGGCACACTTATTTTGGAAAAACCTCTTCTAATTAATCTTGAGCCTGCCAGGGAACCGCATGTGCTTCTGTTCCTAAGCACAATGGGCTTGTGTATGGAAACCATGACAACTCTCACTTCTTCAGCAAATTAATATCCAACATGTTTCATGACTTTAATTGACTACTTTAGCGTATATTACGGTTTGAACAAATAGCTGAATCATACTAGGGAAATTTTTTTTCACATTCATAGTAATTTCAGGTTTTTTGCTCACTTTTTGTTTTTACCTTTTAGGTAAGCAACTAGGGTCAGGCATATGGAGGTGAGATGGGAGGAAGGATTTTTTTCCCCCATCAAATTTCTGAATTCCTTGTCCATGATTTAGAGATCCATAATAGAGGTGGGCAATCAGTTGACCTCATTCCAAAATAACCTGAAGGCAGCAGAACTTGATTGGATGCTGTTTACTACCCATTACTCTCTTCCCGACTGGCTCTTGAGCAGTCCTTCCCCAAGACAAAACTTCAGCATCTTAAACCCCATAAAAGCCCTACCATGCAGTGAATGGCACCTTCTTTTTTTTTTTTTTTTTTAAATTTTTTATTGTTGGCTGTTCAAAACATTACATAGTTCTTGATATATCATATTTCACAATTTGATTCAAGTGGGTTATGAGCTCCCATTTTTACCCCATATACAGATTGCAGAATCACATCAGTTACACATCCATTGATTTACATATTGCCATACTAGTGTCTGTTGTATTCTGCTGCCTTTCCTATCCTCTACTATCACCCCTCCCCTCCCCTCCCCTCCCCTCTTCTCTCTCTGCCCCCTCTACTGACATTCGTTTGTCCCCCTTGTATTATTTTTCCCCTTCCCCTCACTTCCTCTTGTATGTACTTTTGTATAACTCTGAGGGTCTCCTTCCGTTTCCATGCATTTTCCCTTCTCTCTCCCTTTCCCTCCCACCTCTCATCCCTATTTAATGTTAATCTTCTTCTCAT